CGGCGCATCCGGAAGTGGAGCGAGCCAACAACACGCTGCGCCTGCGCCCGCGCACACAGCGACCTATTGCATGATCATGATACCGTGATGTGCTTCCTCATGTTCTATTATCTCATGTAATTACACGTAACAGTCGCAATAAAACAGTTAACTAAATTTCGTAAACATAATACACAACGATCCGCGTTTTAGTGCTTAACTTTGATGAGTTATGACGAAAAGTATAACTGTACTAGAATAATATTTAAGTCTCTGTTCATTATGATTTTGAAGTAGAGTAACCTAAGTATGTTTACCAAAAACATTCTCAATATGAACTTAAGTTTTCAGACAACGTTAAATGAGTAATGATTTTCTCGTTACCTGCTCTCTTCAAACGTTGAATAATTTCCGATACGCCATAATTAACGTTGTTCTTGCACGAAACGTGAATCTGTATCAAAGAACAGTAACGTAATTTGCGATGATAAAGTTACTTGTGCCCGTCCCACCGTCGGTCCTGGCGCGCTGGCGGGGCAGAGAAGCTCCATTACGCTGTCTACAAGCCGGGATATTGCCGGGCGCTCTCACACAAAACGTTAACTGTATATTTTAACATAATGAACAGTTTACCGCTCTCGGACAGTTTAATTAAGGATTTATACTAATTTGTAATTAAATTACGGCGTCTTCTCTTATTAATCATATGTTTTTAAAAGCAAGTTGATGCGACAGAAAAATTGCCAATCCAGACAGATATATCCAAATTTTTTCGCCTGAATCATACATATCCCTCATCCACGGAGTAGTACGGCGAGCTGTTTCTGCAACTATGTTCCTATTTTGTGTGACCATGGAGTATTGGACCTTTATTCACTAACAACCTTAACATGAGCATAAAATACAAAATAATAACGACCAAATTCGCTACACTTGAAGATTTTCTTTTTGATGAAGATACTCGTAGCTGCTTCTGGCGTGCCTTATGTGCTTTTTGTGACTAAAGAAGACGTAACAATAATCTCCACAATTGAATAAATCTAATTATTGTGAATATGTATCTATTATTCTTATCGGAACTCGGAAGCAGTATCACAATAACCGTGTTCGGGAGTTTAAAAGAAATAAAAACTTAATCTTCTATTAAGAACGCAGATAGAAAGTCCTCCAGTGCAACGGAATAAATTTTAATGACTTTGCTTAATTATGTACTAAAATTACAATTACTAAATTAGTAAAGTTGGTTCTTATAAATGATGTTTTGCCCAGAAGATGACAATATATTTTTATAAAATCAGTTCTCTTAGTATTCTGTGAGGCTCTCCGTCTCATTAATTTCCCCTAAATACCCTTCTAACATGTTTTTTTCGGCATCAAACAGTCATTTATAGTACGCGTCAAATTTGTTTTAACTATACAAAACTAACATTGCCTATTTATCATTTTCACTTATAATAAATATTTATTGTTTTCTAGTTTTATATTGAGAACAATGTTACAGCCGACCCCACACAAAGTGGGAAAGAGGAAGGATAAAGAAGTAGATACTGAGAGCAGTGCAACGAAACTCCTGAATGTTTTCAATGTTTAGTCCACTTCAACTATTTTATTGTTTACTTCGAATGACGTGGAAAATACAATCGTAAATCGTAATCTGTAAAAATATCCTGATAACCCTTCAACCTAGCAAGCGACAACGCATGGGGCGATAAGTGCGCGGGCATCGAGACAAAGTCGAGGTCATTAACCTCGCTATCAGCTGACGACTACGTCCCAACTGCGGGAAATTACGTTTCATGCTTGCTAAGTACTTATATTTATTTCGGTCGTTCATTACACACTTATAACAATAGCTTAAATTAGTATCTAATCCAGAATTAAGATTAGCGTAAAAGGTCAACTCTACTTAACCCATATGTTCACACGGACGTAAAAACGTTCAATACAATGCCGTTTGAAGTAAATTCGGACAACAATATATTTGATATTTCTACTAGAATTTATACTTCCAAAAATGAATCAGTTAATTATTATTTATTTCAAAGCATGATTTTTGTATTTGTAAGCAGAAAATCGATGTGAATCATTAAATTTCGTGCAACTGTATTCTGGGTAATTGACCTGTTTATTCTGATGACGACGACACACAGGAAGAATGTAACCAAAAAGATAACTTCGCCGAAATACGTATTTAGAATAAACTCATTCAGTTTGATATTAATGGAAGGAAAGAAGCTTAAAAATAGAGCTTTTCAGGCATAACAATGATTGGCTAGATTAAAATCTACCGATATAGGAACAGGATATATAAATAAAAATATACTTAAGAGAATTTCATTCAAAGAACTAATGTTGAGCATTGTGCGATATAAGACTTCACTTCACAAAGACCAGATTTCTTTGTATGGATTTTTATGGTTATTCGCTCACTACATCAACCCCGTACCGTCACCGAATCACTTCGCTCGCTAGCTGTCCGGCGCGGGCGGCGGGTGGACAACTCGATGACAGCCCGCTGTTAGCACGCTTGCCTTAAGCTGGCTGCTGGTTGTAAACGAACTGCTCCTGAGTGAAGTGCGCTGCCATTCGCAGGCAGTTTCGATAAAAATGCAATGCATTGTCATTCGAGTTGACAATGCATTGCATTTTTATATTTCTCTAACACACTACTTAATTTTAGCTGACAATGTGGAGTCAACCACCCGTCGACCACCTGACGTTCACTAGTTGATAACGCGGCGTCCACCTGAATGGTCGCCGACCACGAGTGGAAGTTGCGTGACGAGGCGGTGCCGGGTATCTCTATGATTCGATTCAAAGCCCTTTTCTGCGTAATCACATGAATCGGGAAATTCAAGTTTTATTTTATTAAATCTGATAACAAAGAGATTTTCTAACAAGGACACTAAAATACTTCAGTTCAATTCAAATCCTTTTCGAGATTCAAATTCCATCTAAAAATAGTTCAACTGGACTCGATTTATTTATGAATAATTTTGATTCTTCTGTAGAAGCGCTTAAGCAACTGAAGCTTAACGACTTAACTGATTTTAATTTCTCAACATAATTCAAGTAAAAGCAACAGCATATCTAGATAAAAGACATTAAGATATTAAGAACGATGTCTTGATTCCTGGATTTGAAATAAAGTAACGATATACCTATGTATTTTATGCGTAAGCAGCTTCATTCATTTTGTAGAAAACATGGTGGACGATACACTGCAGTAAGTAGATTAATGTATCCAGTGCTGGCAGTGGGTCTGTGGGGCATGAAGCATTCATCATCATCAGCCTATTAATATGCCCACTGCTGGGGCACAGGCCTTTCCTATGGATGGAATAGGGAGATTGGGCCATGACCCACCACGCGACCTCTGTGCGAATTGGGGGCTGCTAACGACTGCAGATGCAGCCGGAACCAACGGCTTGGCGTGCCTTCCGAAACACGGAAGAACCCGTGATAGTGAATTTTGGTCATCCATCCAATGACCGACCACTGCGAAAGTTACTTAAACTCAACGATCGCAGCCGAAAGCGCTAACCACTTGCGCAATCGAATTCCTCAGCCTCATCCTAATGCAAAAACGTTTAATTTCAGGCAACGATACACTGTAGCAGCCAGGGCTGTGTCAACTCCAGTGCCATTCGGCATGAAGCTTTACACTGAAAAATTCGCAGTAAAGTCAGGTAATCGCGCAGTACCGGTGGGTACTTACTGCGATGCGACCTAATTTGTTGACGTCTCGCCCCCGCGCCCGCTCGCGTCGCCGCCGCTAAATATAGAAACAATGTTGAAAGGCAGACGATACGATTCTGCTCTTTTATTCATTAAAATCGATTCGACAATTAATTTGCTCCCACTCCACATAAACATGGCGAAAATACTCAAAATTTGAGTCAACAACTAATTATAAATAATTGCTAATTATATTTTATTGGAATGATGCTTTTCTTATAAGATTTCACCGAAAATTCTTATAAAATTTCCTTATGGATATTAAAAAATGTATTGCTAGAGTTTGAGTGGTTTTCAAATAAAATAGCTTCGTGTTTCTAGAATCAGCAAGAAAATAATATGAAATACCCTTTATCCCAACAAACGTTTATTTTATTTTCACGAACTTAGGCAGCTAGATGTAGCGTTCAATTACTTTTACACGAGCTCCCAAAAAACGTCCACTTAATAAGGTTTGGTAAGTAACATCTGGCAAGTTTTATAAATCAACCGGGTGAGGTCGACTAACTAATGGTTAACAGATTGAGCGTAGTCGTGAGATAGCTGGAGTTGACTTGTGAGAGTAATATCTAGTGACCCGACGCTGCTGCGATGTCGAAATTGTCTGTCAAGTGGCACATTCGTGTAGCAAGATTTAAAAAGCGGTCCCCGTGAACCTTGTAGCACTTGGCCAGTTGCCACGCCCATGCAGAATGCTGGCTGGAGCGCTCTGAATGCACCACCTTATAATTAAAATTTATCTATACCTACTTAGACACAAAGAAATTGACGAAAACTTTCAATTAAGGTGCAGTAATGGCGGATTCATCCAGGTACAAAATAATGAAAGTTTTAGGTCATGAAGCATTTGTCAGTTTACAAAACATCGAAAAACAAGGTAAGTTCCTACGTTCAACAGTCCAAATGATCGAAGAACAATAAACTTGCGCATCAGTACTTCCGCATACGTAACTGCTTTTATCAAGCTACGAAGTGGCATTGAAGCTCGCTAACTTCGTCGGTGTTTCCTTTTTCCTATATTATGCGAACTGAGAATTTATGTATAAAATGAGCTAGTTCCACAAAAAACTATTTTAGACTCTTATTCGCGAGCAAGCACCGACCGCGAAGTCAGCTAACGGTACCTACTTGCAATCTGTTTCCAGTTTCACTCAAGCCAAAGACTCTTTTGCCACCGATGACTTGAATTATCAGAAAATAGTTCGCATAAATAATCACTACACCGCAATCCGGTTTCCGTACACGTATACGATCGCTCTCATCATAAGAGTCTTAACATTTACCTCGCGAGAATCGGAGGGACGGCGACGCCAACTCAGGCACGACGACGTAGCGCGCCTAGTCCCACTTTACTGTCACAATTAGTCACTTCACTGGCTTCAGTCACGTCCTGGACCCGAAGTAAAAGGGTAAATCGAATTCTTGTGGAAAACTCCAAGCGATTGCAGTTTATTCGAAGAACACACGAATTGAAAGACGGTTGGAATCACCTTGACGAACTTCAACACGACTACACGCAACAACAGGTCGAGGCAGACTGCCGAGACCGAACCGTCTGGCCCTGATCGAGAGGAGGGGAGGACAAAGCGAGGTCTCTCTCTGGTCTCGTTCACTCCTGCATGACTATCGCAATCAAGTTTGAGTAAGGGGCGCGAAGATGTCCGATGACAACCGAAGGTAACCGAACGAAAGCTAATCCCGCTATCACCGCACCGCTACGTACGCTACGGACGCACGATCGGACGATATCACAGTGAGGAAAATCGGAGACGGCGGCAATCAAGCTGTACACGTGCATGCAAGCCATTTATATTGACTATTGTCTAATTCGTCAAAGATCTTTCTACGCATTTCATCAATTAATTAGTTTTCAACAAAATTCTACCTAAAAAATTAACCAGAATAAGCTCAAGATCTATGTATTTAGAACACTAATAAAATTGCCATTGTTATATAAAGAGCAAGTGTTCAGCTCATGGTCTGCAACCCGCTAAATAAGCACGTGGAATCTATAATAAACCAATTCTCTTCACCTTCTTTAGTCAATTATTGAGTAAAGCTACAGTAAGTATATTATGTAAATTAGTTTTGGTAGAGTTTCGTAGAAAGATCGAAAGAACGGAGAGAGTTTTCCTACATGAACGAAGTTGTACCTGAAAGGTGATGATATTAATTCTTTAGTGGTCGCTTTATGAAATGATTGACTGTAGCTTCCGCAGTTCCGGTCAAACAATGACAGCAGGTCTACTTTAGTATATAACTCCGAACAATGATGGCAAAACTCGTAGCAAGCCGCCCCGACTTATTAATAGATCTTCTCTTTTATTTCTCCGTGTTACCATCGCAAGACCTTACATTCCACAAGTTTTAAAACCAGTTTTAAAACCACGAGACCTGCAGTTAGAAACTATCGGTTATCGTCATCCTATTTACTCGTCAACAAACCTCTCCCTCAAATGCCATTTTTTTCTGCGATTTGATTTTTTTTGGGTGGTAAAATAACCGGAAACGGTATAAAATACATTCACACCGTTTATACTTCATGTTTTTTATAATTTTTAACTGACTTCAAAAAAGTATTATGTTCTCATTTCGTTGAAATTTATTTTTTGTGTTTCCCGTTTACTCGAAAACAGCTGGACCTCTGAAAAGATTCTTCCCTTGTTTTCCCATGGTCATCAGGTAAGATAGATATGATTATTGTATTTTTGAGATATCGAGAGAAATCTTCAGAAATTATAGGAGATAAAAGGAGTCATACATAGACTTCTACAGGAATTTAGATATTTTTCCAAGTATCTCGTCCATTTACACAAGGAAAGTACCATCTTGTGTACACTCAATATAAAATATACTTACTTCAAGTTGCGATACAATTACTTTAATTTGGTTGCTAAGCAATTTACATTTTTTGTCACAATTCATACAGTAGAGCAAAGAACAGTAGAACTCCTCAACGTTCCTGAATCGTGAAAAGCTTTGGTTGGAAAATATTGATAAGTATCGTACAATTTAAAAATAATAAAAAGAAAATGTACTTTTCTATTAAAAAAAAACACGATTGCCCTGCCAGCTTCTTACTTAAGAATCTTTTAGATAAAAGTGTTACGTATAGGATGATCTCTGTCGTTGTCTACCAAAAGAACGCAAACACGTTAAATAAAAAAAGGAAAATAAATTACGGGCGATTTAAGGTAGGGAAGGGTGGGAAACGGTTTATTGAGATTTTCGGAAAAACTAACACTTCCATCGAAAAAAATCGATGGCAAAATTGTAGGCAATCAAAAGATCTACTACTTTTTTCACACTAGATATATCTGCGAAAAATCAAAATAACCCACTTTTAGTTTTTTATTAAAAACTTACTAAAAAGTGTAAGTACAAAAGTTGTAGATCTTTTAATTACTTACCTTTAGGTCAAATACAATATATTTATATCTATACAATAAGCTTATTTTTGCCATTATTTTTTTCGATAGGAGTTGTGTATTTTTTCCGACTATAGCGATAAACCCATTTTCCCAACTTAAAAGGTCGAGAACTATGACGATGTATTTGCATTTTCTGAGAAAATTTTCCATAGTTATATGACATTTTTTGTATATTAGCAGAAAGTAGAGGTTTTATAGAATAAAACGCGCCACAACTCATTTTAAAAGCACCATTTTTTGAAGAGAAATTTTATGATTGAAATAAAGTTTTTGAAGTTATACTTCTTTAGGCGCGTTATGAAAAAATGATGAGAGTGAAATTTTTAGATGCGCGCGCATCACTGTAACCCAAAAGTAACAGCATGAAGTTGGCCGCGGGCGCGTTATGAAAAAATCATGTGAGTGAAATTTCGAGATGCGCGCCCATCACTGTAACACAATAGTAACACCATGAAGTTGGCCGCGGGCGCGTTATGAATGTTTGTGTCTAATAACACTAACAACACAACCACTAAGTGGTTAATAATCCACCATTATTAGACATCTGTTCGAAAGGTACTTTGAACGATCCACGGAGCTCCATAAGATGATCGCGTTGTCAAAAACAATGTTGGCACGCTCGTCGCCTCTGATCACTGTTTTCATATTTATAATATTTATCCACATGTTTCTAGTTTCTATATAGACACAACGTGTTTTAGTTACTTACAAGTGCTAATTACATATGGACTAATAACTTAAATTCAGTAGTGATTTTAATTGAATATTTTGAATATTTATTTAATTTTTCAAATTAAAACTGAACTTAATTGACTGTGTTAACTATCCTTTTCCAGTCCTTTTATTATTTTATTGTAATTTTTAATTATTTGCATGCAATTAAAAAATATTTTTAATGATGCTAAAGAAGTATAACTTCTGACGCGCGTACATAAGTTACACGCATTCATTTTTTTTTAAAATATCAATTGGAGCGGAAAAATAAATAACTTGAATCAAAAAAATTAGAGCGTGTTTGGGACATAAGAAAGTAAGTTTTGACAAAATTTCGATAATAATAAAAATAAAAAACCGACTTTTTGGTTTTGATTTTACGCAGACATTTTTAGAGTATGTGAAAAAAGTATAAATACAAAATATTTCAAATTGATGACATTGTTGAATTGATAAACCGTTTTCCATTTTTAAAAGGATACCTGGGCAGGTGTCGGAAAGGGGCGACTTCGAATCACCCGTAATTTATTTTTCCTCAGTTTTATAATGTGTGCTTTTTCTTTTTGGTGTGGGTTGTTGGCCCTGTTCCGATTTTTTTCACATTTTACGATTTTCAAACAAAGAAAGAAATAATTTTTTGACCAATAACATTGACAAATAAAAAAGCATAAATAAAAAAAAAGAATAAGGTCAACTAGGTCCCTGCCATCCCAAAGACATCCGCCCTGGCCTAATATATGAAGTATTTAATGCATTTCACCAGGTAGTATTTTTTCATCAACAAAAAAGCAAACGTGAGTGTCGCAGAACACCCAGGTGGAAAGACGTTAACAAACAACTACACACTACTATTACTACTATATGCTAGCAAACAACTGACGGTTGTGACGGACAAATCAACACTTTTTCGCCTAGTCTAGGTATCCAACTAAGATTTTACCAAAATTCCGTACGTCCGAAATAGAACTTTGTTCCAAGAAATACAAAAAACAGGAGTATGTACAGTTAAGAAAGATCGTGTGGTCGTAAGGTATCTAATTTAATCTTGATCTGGCACTAAATCCCTAGTGGAAAATAAATCACTGCCTAAAAATGCAACTTTGACAATTTGAAACTGGAACGATGTTGAGACCTTTTTAATAGACCCTATTAAAAAAAAATACCTCACACTGATAACTACAATATAGCTTTTCCAGAATTATAAAGAATTTCCAGGTTTCAACATCAGTTTTCAGAAAACTAAAAATTGTTCTTGTCACGTGCCAGATGCGATTTATGCGGGGTGTTTCATACAAAGGGGCGACTCGACTTTGCTATAATATTGCCAACAAAACATCAAAGTCGAGACACAAAATTACGAGGCAATAGGCTAGTTGACCCTTTTTGGAAAAAGGTTTTAAATGGTTAATAAATGTTCTATTAGACCGAAAAAAATGTATTGTATTTTTTTTAAACCTAGAAAGCCACAAATCTTTAATTTTAAAATAGACTTTTCATGGACATACAAAAACGCTGTCGGCCATTTTAGTCAATAGATTATCTATGCTATGACGTGAACTGTGGTAAACAAAAACTCGTAAACACGTAGAAAATTACTTTTAACTGAGTTTATAATAAAAAAAAACATGATTTCTAATAAATACCACGAAAAATAAAGTAATTATCATTACTGTATTGTACGAGAATATAAAAACACATCCTTGAAGACTCCAGGAAAGTTGTGGATTAAAGTGCCGAAAGAAATTAACCTACGCAACTTTATTACAGTTATTCATATGTTGTATCAGTTTTATGTTTATTACTACATTGTAATACTAAATGCACTGTACTTACATAGATACCTTGTCGTTTCTCTGCTCCGCAGAGCAGAAATCGGGGTTTAGTGCATCAAATTCACCAACCATCAATGCGTCAATTCTTGGCAGATTTGTGCTTTCTGCTTTCACAAAGCCGGCATCCATAATTAGTTTTGTCAAAAAAAACTAAGTTTACTGTTTTTTTCTTTCAAAAAAAAAGGAAAGTTAAAAGTGTTTTAAGATAAATTAGTCAGACGAAAGAATCCTCCTACAGTAACACGCGAATGACATTCAGTTGTTTGTTTACATTTGTTTACCACAAGAGACGTCAAAATCATGGCGGATGTGGCGAACAGCGTTTTTAGTGTTTAAAATGTATAGACTAAAAATTATTTTTTTAAATTAAATTTCTACAGCAATCTTCTGCTTTTATGAAGTGAAATCGATATACACACATCAAAAGTGTCTAGGGATCAACATATATTTTTGCAATAACTTTTCTCCTGATTGATATTAATTAAAATTTTCTTTAAGGATTCATCAAATAAAGTGTTTTCGTTTGTCACAGTAACGATAAACCAAGTCACCTTTGCATTAATAAAGAAATTTGCCATTTTCCTAATAAAGGGATTTTTGACATTTGAACCACTAACACAAAAGTTCGAAAAAAAGACTGAAATAACAGTTTTCTCTAAAATTTTATTGGGTAACTTAAACAATTAATAATCCGTATTTCTACCGCGAACACTAACAACACAAGAACATCGGTTTGGCATACTCAAAATGAGTTCATCCAAATCA